CAGCCTGCATTGGAGCTGCTGCTGTGTCATGTGGCTCTCTGGGAGACTCACGCTGTTGCTGTGATCCCACAGATTTTCCGTCACGTGGCATGCAGAGTCCTGCAGGGGGAGAAAGCTGAGACTAGAGGCTTGCCCCCTTTGGTGTATTGGTAGCTTGTTAAAAATGAGCCTCACGTGTCTTCCGGGAAGGGACTGGAGCTTCATTCAGCAAATGGAGGTTACAGCAGAGCAGTGGAAGAAGGGCTTGGGTGTGCTCTCCCCTTTTTCCTCTTCCTTTCCCACAACCAACTGAAAACTCCATTTCTTTTGGGCAATAAACCCTCCCTTTCTGCACAGACACTGCTCTTTTCTCCTCTGGGCAGGTAAGAGGCAGCTATCTGCCCAAGATAGGTTAGTTTCTTTCTTTTCTACCCCACAAGTAAGAATAAATACAAGAATTCCCTCTCTTCCCCAAGTGAGTGGGTGAAGTTGAGAAGCTGTGGGCAAAAATTGGCTTTTCTATCCTGTGTGGCATCCTGAAGTGACACGATAGCTGGAAGTATGAGAGCAGTGATGGTGTATCCATGCGATCGATCAGTCACGCATAGTCATGTGTGCACCGTTGCATTATTGCAAATGACATCTGCGTATGCAGTGAGGACAAGGCAATTGCACAGCCCAAATAAGGGGGGAGGACCATTACTATTGTACCAGAGTATCTGGAAATCAGGACGTGGCAGAAGCCATGTTGATGATGTAAACTTCATTCAGCCCCTCTCCCACCCTCCTGAAGCATGGGCCTGTGATGTGGTAGTGGGGGCAGGAGCAGCTCTATTCCCCCCTGAGATGCCTCGCAGACACGCGGGTTTCTCAGCAAGCTGAAACTTTCAGGCCGTGTGTGCAAACGGGTGCTGGTTAAGATGGGGGAGAGCTGACAGCAGTTGTAGCTTTTCCCCTCTCTAGGGCAGGCACTGGAGGAGTGAAACATACTTAATTGGAGAGGGTGCTAGGGGCATCAGGGATGCTTGCAGACATTGCAATGATGAGGGGGTCCTGGGCCAGCGCACACCTCTTCTGCTCATTCCCTAGCTTCACCCTTGTGGTGGGTTGACCTTGGCTAGATGCAAGGTACCACCAAGCTGCTCTGTCACTCCCCCTCCTCAACTGGACAGGGGGAGAGAAAAATATAACAAAAGGCTCGTGGGTCGAGATAAGCACAGGGAGATCACTCAGCAATTACCGTCACGGGCAAAACAGACTCGACTCGGGGAAATTAATTTATTGCCAGTCAAAATCAGAGTAGGATAATGAGTAATAAAACCAAATCTTAAAACACCTTCCCTCCACCCCTCCCTTCTTCCCAGGCTCAACTTCACTCCCAATTTCTCTACCTCACTCCCCTCCCCACTTGCCTGTGCAGCGGGACAGGGAATAGGGTTTGCGGTCAGTTCATCACACGTTGTCTCTGCTGCTCCTTCCTCCTCACACTCTTCCACTGCTCCAGCGTGGGGTCCCTCCCATGAGAGACAAGGCTGTAGTTCTTCACGAACTGCTCCAGCGTGGATCCCTTCCATGGGGTGCAGTCCTTCGGGAACAGACTGCTCCAGCATGGGTCCCCCACGGGGTCACAAGTCCTGCCAGCAAACCTGCTCCATTGTGGGCTCCTCTCTCCACAGGTTCACAGGTCCTGCCAGGAGCCTGCTCCAGCACGGGCTTCCCACGGGGTCACAGCCTCCTTCAGGCATCCACCTGCTCCAGTGTGGGGTCCTCCACGGGCTGCAGGGGGACAGCCTGCCTCACCATGGTCTTACCCACAGGCTGCAGGGGAATCTCTGCTCTGGCGCCTAGAGCACCTCCTCCCCCTCCTTCTTCACCGACCTTGGTGTCTGCAGGGTTGTCTCTCTCACATATTCTCACTCCTCTGTCCTGGCTGCTGCTGTTCTGCAGCAGGTTTTTTCGCCCTTCTTAAATATGTTTTCACAGAGGTGCTACCACCGTCGCTGATTGGCTCGGCCTTGGCCAGCGGCAGGTCCATCTTGGAGCCGGCTGGCATTGGCTCTGTCAGGCATAGGAGAAGCTTCTAGCAGCTTCTCACAGAAGCCACCCCTGTAGCCCCCTCTGCTACCAAAACCTTGCCACGCAAACCCAATACAACCCTGAACACCTTGTCCCAGGCTGTACTCCTCTGTCTGTCCACCCCAAATTCAGGTCGTTTCCAAGGACTTTTGTCCCAAGTTCCCAGTTCTCTTCCGTTCCTGTCATTCCCTGTCTTCCTCCAGCCTCTTTTTCCTACCCCCTTCTCATCTGACCGATCTCTCTGCTCCTCTGATGTCTCCTTGGCTTTTCTCTGGGGCTCTCCATTGCTTCTTCTCACTTCTCGCATGACACTGTCCCCGTTTCCTTGCCAAGCTGTTTTTGGTTACCCCACGCACCTTTAGGTCTGTGATGGACATGCTCCTTTTGTCCAGTCCCAGCCTCTGCTCTGGAGAGCAGCTGGCACTCCCACAGTCACTGCTTTGCATTAACCCTGGGCTCCGAGAACCTCAGTGCAGCTGCAGTACTACGGTTTTGTGGAACATCAAGTGTTTTGTATATTTTTATTTTGCATTTTTATAGTACCTTGGTGATTTGCAGGTTTTCTCTGCTGTTTTGTCCAAGCTACTGGACAGAGGAGGATGTATATTTTTTGACTCAGTGACAGACTGGTGGTGTTAGCTCTTTAAACTGTCTGTTAAATTTTTTTAAAATAATTTTTGCCAAGGACAAGTTGAGATTTTCCTGTGTATGGGGCATTGTCATGTCCTAGTAAGAACCCCAGGCATGATGCTGATTTCCTTGAGTGATGTACAAGCTGAAGAGCGGGGCTCTGGAACATGCCACGGCTATTGCAGCATGCACCAAGTTACCCAGTCGGTATTGCAGGCTGTTGAGTTCACAGGTGGCTTCCTAGCAAACCCCAGAATTACTTTGGCAAACTCAGCACAGCATGTGACACAGCTAGAGGTGTGCTTCTGGTGCTTGGCTCCTACAGCACTGCTGAACTGCATGTGTCCATAAGGTTTCCTCCAGTGATTATTCTTTCTTTGGGGGAGTAAACCCTTTTGTAGGCTGTACATCTGACAGGGTGTATTTTCTCCTCCACATCTGCACTGTACCGTAGGGTCACTTTTAAAACCCAGCTAGCTTTCTCCATAGGGAATATGTGACAAATATCCTTTGCACATTAAATTCCTATTCAGATATTTCATGGCATCCCTGAATTGCCTTTCTGTCAACAGCGAACAGTTTGTTTGACCTGCTAGGTTTAACATGTGCTTTTAGTGAAGGTCTCCAACCACGCCAGGACAGATTCACAATTAAATTGTGATCAGTTGCCCAGCAAACACTGGTAAGCTTAAAATCAGAGGAGGAGGAATGTTGGCTGCCTGCAAGCAAGGTGCCAGTTTTATTACCCTCAGAGTTTATCGCCCTTCCTAATTAAAATCCCAAGCAATCCCCACCACCACCTGTGTCTGTAAACCTCCCGTAAGTGTGACGTAAGGTGACTCGGTATGACTGGGAGCATGCACAAGGCAGGTGGTGCAGGCTGTTTGCACCAAGCACAAATGACACTGTGAGTTCAGCAGTTGTTTTCCTTCTCTGATTATTTATTTACATTTTTAGAATGACCTCGGGTGGGGAATGACTGCTTACTCAACCCCATGTCCTTGCTTGCACTTCCACCCAGAGACCGTCTTTGGAAGGTCCATAGGATTGTAGACCTGTTTTATGCTCTCAGTCACGTGACATGAGTTACAAAAAGGCTTGTGTTTCCGTAGTGCGATGGGGCAGTATAAACTGATGCTCTTGGCCTTCCCGTATGGGGAGAGAGTGGGCTGCAGCATTTGGCTTGCAATAGCATTGTGCACTTGTGTCCAAAATACAGATTGTGCTAGCTCCCTGCCTGAATGTTGGAGAAATTAGCATTAAGTCCTACCCTGCTGCATGGGCCTGACTGCCTTTGATGAATTGGAGTCAGTGCTGGCAAAAAGTAATTGCTCATGATTATGACAAATTGTGCGCAATGCTCATACTGTGAACTACAAAGCTTTTGTCCACTACCGCTTATCCAGCTGCTTAAAACGCTCTGCTGTTAAAGTGCATGAAACTCGGAAACAGCCTTCAGGATCTGGTTGTTCACATTTTTGTTGAGAGCACTGAAAAAAATTTGGTCTGTTTGAAGAACTTGCTTCTATTCCCCAGAGTTTCTCCTGATGTGGGGGAGCAGGAGCTGGACTACAGGACAGGGGATGGCTCAGCAGTACAGCAAGATGAAAGCAAGGATGGCTATTAAAAGGAGGTCTGAGCATTGCTCTTGATCTGTGTCCTTGATAAAAATCCCTAGTGATGTTCATCCTTCCAGTAATAGCTGCAGGCATGTCGTTTCCCCTCTTTCTGTATTACTCGATAATCTGTTTTTCTGGGTTTTTTGGTTTTGCATTTTCTGCAGTAAGAAATGGTTTCTTGTATCAATCAGACGTGTTTGTTTCAGCAGATGCTAGAAAGGTGTGCGTGCATGAGAGAGCAGTCTATGTGTTACTTCACCTTGCGTGAGCACAAAATTGCACGCGCAAGAAGTAACTGCTGGAATGAATTGCCTTTGTTTTCCATGCACTGTATTCACCATACTTCGGTTTATGGTCAGTGCTGTCAGCATGTGGCAGTCATGTTTACAGAGCACCGCTGAGTCAAATATCCTAGCTGGATATTTTAAAATGTTGGATACCTTCATAGCCACAGGCATTTGGAGCTGTAATTGCTGAGATAAGAGTGCTGCAGTTTGTGGGGTAGGGAATTTGATCCTGCCTTCCAAGTACAGTGCTGCACGTCTTGGATAGGCACGCTGTCTGCCCTCGTTGAGGGGAGTCCCACTGTTGAGTATAAACCCTCGCTGAAGTAGGTGGGATCCTCTGGCACGGCAGGTCTAGTCACAAGCCAAGTTCTTCTCAATAAATAGTCCTCCCTTCTTTTCTGTCTTTTAGCGTCAAGATGGTGCTGATGTGGACCAGTGGGGACACGTTCAAGACTGTTTACTTCATCTTGAATCAGGCCCCTTTCCAGTTCTCCATCTGTGGACTCCTGCAGGTTTTTGTGGACATCGCTATCCTGTTGCAGGTTTACTTGTACAGCTACTACCCTCAGAAGCCTGTGTCCCACACTGCACACCCAGCCAGCACCAAGGCCCTGTGAGGCACTTAGCTGGACAAGTTGCAGGTCAACGGGTGCTGTGGAGTCAGCCATGGCAGCTCCTCTTCCGCTTGTAAATACTCCTGTGTTGCCGAGTTGAAAGCAGAAATGAGAACAAGGATTGAAAATCTGGCTGCGCTTCCAGCTCGGGAGGTTTTATTTTAAATAACTTGCTCTCTCTGTTTTCAGACTTAGCTGTACGGAACTGTTTCTTGGTGGGGGGAGGGGCACTTTATTTTTGCATATGTACCTATGAGCCTTATCAATTCACAAATGTTTGTATATTTAATCACAAGGGCTGGATGGTTTGTGTTTTTAATGCTATTTAAAAATGTTACACCACAGAAATTGTAGGATATTTTGTCTGAAACTTTACCTATTTATATAATATAAAGTCTGTATATTGGCAGGAAGTTTGTGGCATATGCTAGCATTCAGTATCTCCATGATGTAGGAAGAAGTATTGAAGAGCAAATGCAGGAGCTTTTTCTTTTCTTCAAGAAGGGTGTCTGGTGAGCAGAGAAGGTGAGGGCGGGAGGCTCTGCGAAGAGGTGAGCAGCCAGAAATGAACCAGTCATACACAGTATAAAGCATCAGTGTGCTAAAGAGTGAATGGCAGCTGTTCACCCCCACTGCGAGGTCAGTGTGGCAGGCAGACACATGAAGGAGATGATGAAGGGGGGTCTGAGTATGAACGATGCTGGAGCCACGTTTAGAGCAGGCACAGCCAGTCAAGCGGTCAGCCAAAAGGAGGAACTAGCAGGAGACTGCAGGTAACGTAGGTAGTTGTGCTTTGAAACGATGGGGTTTGGGAACAGCCCGCCCTGCACTCAGGGGGCAGCGCTGCTCCTGCAGCTGTGCACAGGACAGAGCTGGGCTGTAGGATGTCTTTCACAAACCAAGGGGCCAGCAGATGCGTGTTGCCAGTATTGCCAGGCAAGTATTTCTAGATGGCGATTGAGCCACAAAGGTAGAAGCAACTCCACTTCCATTGCCTCAAAAGGGGAAGTGAAAAAGTTTGAGACAGAGAAAAAGTCGTATCCTATGGAGTAGGACTAGCGTATTACAGCTTGATTTGTGGAGGCTGAGATTCACGTTCTTGTTGTTTAATGCCAGACAAGAACCAGTTTATGTTTTGGGGTGTTTCTTGCATTGACCCAACAAGGAAGGAGTCCACGTTCTCCTTTTTCTATTGCTTAAGATCTTCTAGGCTCTTAGAAGAATTAGCAGCCTATACTTAGACAGAGGGACTGAGAAAGCTGAAAGAGCGGAGAGTTTATTTATAAATGTAGATGTTGTCTGTAATGGCTGTTTGCCAGCGTAGGTCACCGTGCCCTTTCTGAGAACTGCACATGTCTAGCAGCTGCAGGTGGTGTGGACCCGCAGGGGGCTGTGACCAAGTCCCTGGGCTTCGGCCAGTTGCCGTCACGAAACCGCCCTGGTTGGTATGAGGCAGCCATAGCAAGACACTTAGTCCCAGGAACAGCTATGCCTGCACTGCTCTCATCTGACCACAGGCAAGGTGTTAGAGCCGGGACAGATTTCTGAGAATCTTTTTTTCTCCAAGATTAGCCCAAGAGCTTATGTTTTCTTACCGATGGCAGCAAGTCTGAGGTTTAATAACTTCAGTGTGTAAATCAGATACTTCCCCTACCCTGTTTTATTTGGGAACGTCACGATTTGAGTCTGGACTGTCTTCATCGGTGGCAAACTGTCCTCTGGAGGGGAAGCGTCAGCAGGCTGCAGCAGTGGTTGCGTGATGCTCGGTTGGGAATGTCCGTCATAAGACAGGGAAGAGTGGGCTGTCCCTGTGCTGCTTAACAGACTTGTGCCCATCTCACTCCCCAGGTAGCCCCAGGCTGACATCGGGGCTCCCACTGCGTGTGCTGTTTGGTTTTGGAGCTGACATGTTGGTGGCAGAGGGCTGAGGCCCAAACCGGCAGGCTGAAGTCCTGCTCTGGGGCCAAGCCGTCCTGCCCTTTGGTGGGGGCACTGCTGGAGGTGGAAGGAAGGGTGTCCTCGGGAAGTCCCTCCTGCCCCGGCAGATCCAGTCGGATCTGCCTGAGTGAAGCAGAGCCGAGGAGAGCTGCTGTTCCCGAGGGCTGGGCACCGAACGCTCTGCCCGGGCACTGACTCCACGCTCTTTGTTTGATACCATACTCTTTTAGGCCTGAAGTGACCTTACAAAGACGATGTACCTGGCATGGCAGACTATGAATGTTTTGTTCCTCTCTTTTCTCCAGTGTTCTGGTTGTGTTACAGGAACATCTGGGCTTTTGTCTTTTTTAATTGAAAACTTACTTAACAACTGGCTTCTCCGGTATGCTGCTTTAATGAGGATTGTATTTCTACTGTATGCAAACAAACACTTTCTTGTGTGTTTTAATGGTCTGAAGTTTTTTTTTTTAATAACTTGTAATGGTAAGATTTTTGTATATGGTGGTCTTTTTCTAATATTCTATGAAACGGGGATATAAGAAATAAATGGCTCTGAAGAAATATACTTCCGTATGTTATAGCTTCACCTGGGAGTGCACAATTTGGCCACCTCTTTGGGTTTGAACTACAGGTATTACTGAGGATAAAACAACTGTTGTTTTTTCCTTTTGGGACTCTTCCCTGGGCAGATTCTTGAGCCTGTCATCAGTACCTGAACCAGCGAGCCCTGCAGACAGGTCTCATTCACACCAGAGCTGCAAATGCTGGAGGAGAAGCCAGTGAAACCATGTCTGAAGTCCTCTTCTGTATGTGGCATTTAGCAAGGCCAGGACTCTTGGCCAGGAACTCTTGAACTTCATCTTGCAAGATACTTTAGGGACAAAATGTTACAGAACTTTGTTTTTGTTCTTTAATTGTCAGGAAGAGTCTGTATCAATGATCACCTCAGAGAATAAGAAATCAATTACTTTAAATACATCTCTTTGAATGTATGGCACATTTCATGGGGTTTATTTTCTCTGTCAGTTGCAATGTTTTTTTAAATAAAAATCACCTATTATATATATATTGCAGTGTTGCTTTGTTTTGTTCAGATATAAGATGCGTGCTTCGTAACTCTTATTATAACTCATCTTGTCTAAAGCATTGTCTGTAGGAATAATTAATATGTTTTTCCCTCCTGATGGGTGGGTAAGCACAAGGCATAATTTTTCTTGAGGTCATGATGCGCGACAGGGATTCTGGATTTCTGTCCCCTGCTCTTCCATACATCCTGGCGTAAACTTACCCTCATGACCACTTAACTCTTTTATGCTTGTGATGCTCACAGCAAAAACAAATTACTAACAGGTTATTATGTAGCTTTAAAAAACCCCGCTGTATCATGCAAACTGCATAATGAGGTCAAAGACGGGACACAGCTGAGGGACATGCTCTTCGTAGCCTCTGCATGGAAGACGAGGAAACCGAGTCTCTCATCTCATGGCCAACCACTGTGCCAAGAAGAGTTTTGACCTCCCTCCCTGTTGATTCAGGACGTGAAAACAAGCCACGGCAGTCAGGACCAGCCTTGCGGCCGATGTGTGGCCCCTGGGCCCTGCCGGGCTGCTGTTGCAGGCTGTTTGGCTGCTCCGGCATGGGGAGATGGTTTGCTGTTGCTGCGTGCAGTGGCTGAGGAAGCTGGAGAAGGGGAGTCGGTGAGGAGAGAGGACTGGGAGCACAGGAGAGAGGGTCGGGCAGGGCAGGAGGAGAGAGGTGGGAGAGACTGAGCTTGCTCAAATAAGGGGCTGAAGCGAGAGACTCCTGGAGGGGAGGGAATGAAGAAAAAACAAGACCTGGAAGGGCAAAGGTAGGTAAATCAGTGAAGTGGGGTTAAAGGAGGAGGAAAACAAGGGTGGGGAGTAAAACCTGCCTGCTCTGTTCCAGTCTGTGGGCAGTGGAGACCATGGAGGGCAACGGCCCAAGCAGTTCCCACAACAGCCGAGCCTGCTCGTTACTCATAGCGGTTGCGCCACCTATCCCAAACAGTACTGGTGTTACTGGCTGCTGCTCTGGCACTCACTAAGGGGAAGCTAATGGTGGGACTGGCCCTAAATGAAACAACGGGGAGCCCCTCCAGTAAATAGGAGCTCTCACAGCCACCTCCAGATGCTGCAGCAGTCAGGGCAGCAGCGGGGCCTTTGTCCTGCTGGCTGGTGCAGCACTGGCCCTGGCCTCAGGGCAAAGCTCTCCCCGGGTCGTGCAGGGCAGGCAGTGCTCTGCGCTGCGGCTCCATAGGGCAGAGATTTCACGGTTAGATGTTTGGGTGCATGCATCTACATCTGTGGTTAGATGCAATTAAAAACATTTTAAGACAAAAGGCAAAGCTCAAATTCGGCACTGGGCAGTAAAGAAACAGATGGCCCACAGATGCTGTTTGTTGAATTTGGTTGTGATCCTTAGCTTAGGCTTGAGTGCCAAGAAGGCTTCAAGGACCTGACTGACAGCTGTAGCTTTATTGGTGGCTTTCTGTAACAGAAAGAAGACATTAATGTGTAACTCAACAATATGCCAATGAACACACTGCCTGGATACCTGTGCCAACAGCAGTAAATAAGAGACGTGGACTAGAACAAAATGTGAGGCACACCCTGGAGCAGGGGCAGATCTCCCTGGAAACAGCCTTGTAAAGCAGCCAGGTCCCAAGCGGATGTCAGCATCTGGCAATGCCCTGACAGCAAACACAGACTTAGGAGTTCAGACCCCACCCTGCCCCAGTTTACGTGGAGTCGGCTTAGCTGTGCTGGGAGACCAAGGGGCTTTGCTCAGCCTCAGATGGGCCAGCAGAACCACACTGGATTTCTCTACCCATCAGCCCCTCCATCTGCCTCTTTCCTCTTCCGCCCCAAGGCTTCATACTCTTCTAAGGCTGTAGCTTGTAGGCGCCGGGCCCTGTGAGAGCCGAGGATACTTTGCCCCCATGAAGCATCTGTTGTGAGGCTGCCATAGACCATGCCTCTTCTGGCCTCATCAGTGTGAGACAGCAACCTCTGTCCGGCTTACTGCTGAGGGGATGATACCAGTGTCATGTTTTTCTTACGATTAGTGCTTTTCCTTAATTGAGATTGCTATGAGGTAGGAGATGGCTGTGCACCTGTGCTGTATGAGCAGAAGGAGTTGTGTTTGACTTTGTGCTGTTCCCTCTAAGTCTGTCCCTTTACCAGTTACCGCATCCTTAGCTCTCAAACGTAGTTATGGTTTTCAGATGATTATTTTTGCCAACTTCCAGAATTTGTACATCCAGGCCCACGCGTGCTGCCACCGAGGCAGCTGTGTAGAAGAGGCAGCTTCGCTCACATGCGTTATGAGTCTCTGTCCCATAGGAGAGAGGAATTTTTTTTCTTCCTTGGGGCAAAACCAATGTGCTACAATCATGAAGCACTAGGCTGTGTTTCAAAGAAACAGATATAACTACCCACTGGCACCGGCATGCATGCAGACAGCAGTGTAGCATTTATTATAGTTAGAGATAAATGGCCTTAAATCATGTGTGTGCGGTGTCAAAGAAACAAACAACAAAAGCATACACAACAAAACCAACACTTCTCCAGCGGCTGATCAAAAGTAATAAGCATCACCTGTAACAACAGCTACGCTGGGTGAAACTCGCTCTCCTCTGGGTAGCTTTGGCGATGTGTACATCACAGCTTTATACAGCTTCCAAAAATAATTTGTTTAAAAGGTTCCTGGTTTATATTTGTTTCCTCATCTGTCATCTCAATAGCTAAAATGAAACTTTATTAAAAGCCAGGCCTTGACTAACAGACAGAATGAGTGGGTTTTGTCACTTTATTAAAACTCTGTGCATGCTGGAATTAATTATGTGCCTTTTGAAAAATACAAAGACCTCACTATTGTAGGACAATAGCAACTTGATGGAGCACAGCAATAATACAGTGTGTGTCATCAATCTGTTTTTCTACACAGCTGCTGAGCTGCAGTAAGCTGTCCCCAGTGCTGCTTTTTCATGCTGCGTGGCCAAAAGTGGCATTCATTCATGGTTATTTGCTAACACTGCAAGCGTGAGACTCTTCATTCTGCAAGGATGTCTACTCCAACATGGCTCTTCTAAGAGTAAGCTAATGCTGCTGATCATTCGTGGGCCTCACCACCTTGAGGAGATGTATTCTGCACCCTCCGTGCACACTAGCCATGATCACTGCATTCACACCAGAGATGTGGCACTAAACAGCACCTGGTTTGCATGAACCAAAGTACATGAAGACTGAGCACCCAAATGCCACCATAAAATGCACCGCTGCCCCTCAGCATCATGCCACACTTTGCCCCCACACACTATTCACTTTGCTGGTTTGCATTTAGCCAGCTGCAAAGCTGTATCCCTGATGCCAAACCTTAATAAGCCTTAATGCAAGAAATGCCTGCATCAGGATTAAAAAAATAATAAAATTAAAATCTTTCATGAGTCATAGCAACCCAGTGCTGGTATTGCTTTGCCAGGACTCTGAGTCAGCCCATGCGCCATCCACCAGCCCTTGGCCCTCCTCGCCTGGCACAAGCGAGGAGGATGTGCTCTCGGTGGTGGGCTGTGAACGATGGGCAGAGCCCTGGCACCTGTGGCTGCGTCCAGTTTGCTTGTAGTTCAATACAGCTGGGGATCTGGAGACCCAGATGCAGCCTGCAGGGTAGGGGGGGGCTCAGTTTTGCTGCCTCCATCTCTTGCAGCACTCACCAGCGAGCTGTGTGTGTAACACACATGCTGCTCCGAGCTGTGTAACCTGGCCCAGTGACCCCACTGCGCTGCTCGGGGCTGTCTGGCCTGGCTATGGCTGCAAAGGAGCAGTATCAGGGCTGCTATGGGCCAGAGAGGGCCAGTGGCATGGGACCCCGGCTGGAGCACCGGCACGCATGGCTTCACATCAGTACGGCGAAATACCACCTCCCCCCAGCACCCAAATCATCAGAGGCGAGCATTCAGCAACAAAGCTTCTAATTTTTATTAAAATAAAGTATAACCTTTTATTTTTCCTTGCTCCATTCCTACAAGGAATGGCTTAATACGGGAGTTTACTATGTAGGATTGGTGTTACAACATATGCTGAGGAAAAAAAAAAACCCAAACCAGACAAATCCCATCTTCAATACATCAGCTTTTGTTCCCTTCCTGGCAGGAGGAGAATATGGAGGGCGGCACTGCATGGCTTTAATACAAATGGGGGCGTAGGTACAAGATGCAGTCGTGCTCCATTTCCCTCCATCCCCTGACCGTATCCCACCTGTAGGAGCACTGAAAGGCCCACACAGCACGCTGACTGGGACCAGCTACACAGCTCCTCCAGGGAGGGGGCTGGAGAGCTCGTGGGGCTGGCATCAGTAAACAAACATGCAGATGCCACCATATGATTCGTCTTCCCTTTAAATTGACTTCAATCTTTTGAGAATTAGGAAGAAGAGCCAGAAAAATAATTCTAATTTTTAGATGACAGGATTGTCTTTTTCTTAGTAGGGGAAAAAAAGAAAGACTAGTCCTCATGTAGAGCACAGCTGCTATGCTGCAGCTTGGGCCAGAGCCCACTGAAGGCATCTCATTGACTTCACCGGGTTTGGACTACTCCTGTTTGCACATGACTGCAGTCAGCGCAGCCACCACTGCTGAGGAAGAGTATGCAGAGCTGGGAGTTGCTGCTGGTTTAACATCACCCTTCCCTTCTTGGGCTGCGTGTAGTTCATGTTTAGTCGTCTGTTAAATACATTTTTTTGATACATGAGAGATGGAAATAGTTAACATAAAGTGGAGAAATGGCGTGATTTGTAAAGATATTTGTTATATTCAACTGTTAGCAAAGAAAAAAAAAAACAAGTTAACATTCAGTACCACAGTCAGGAAGATTGTCTATGTATATTTCTGTCATGGGGCTAAGATACAAAGCTTAGGGTGGTAAATAAGCATATTTACTAAATAATGCATACTGCGCTAGCGCACAAGTCAGAGCTGGCAGCTGGCAGCCCAGGCCTGATCAGTAAAACAGACAAAACCAAGCCCCTGGGAAAGCTGAAGGGATGTTT